CTATCCACTGTGCCACTTAGCTGCCCCTATCCTTTTCTTTCCAAAGAAGGGGTGAGAAACAAAGAGCAGGAAAAGTATTCAAGATGATAATGAAGGGAAATATACAAGTGACAATCATAACTGTGAATGTGGATGAGGTGAACTCACCCATGGCACCTAGGTGGCATAGTGGAGTCAGGAAGACCTAAGCTGAGATCCAGCTTCAGACACTTACTAGCTCTGTAATCCTGGGCAAATCACTTAACCTCTGTTTACCTCAGTTTGCTCACCTGTAAAATGGAGATAATGATAGTACCTACTACCCAGGGCTGTTAAAAGGGTAGAATGAGATAATATATGTAAAGCACTTTGCAAACCTCAAAGTACTATATAAATGTTAGCTATAAATTATTAGCTATTATTATAAAATAAAAGAGAATAGCAAAATAGATCAGAAAGCAGAATCCAATAATGTGTTCTTTGTAAGAAACACTTTAAGCAGAAAGATGAACACAGCTGAAATAAGGAGCTGGCACAAAATCTATTATGCTTTAGCTAAAGTTAAAAAAAGGCAGATGTAGCAATCATGTTTAGTCAAGAGCAAGAACTGACTTAATTAAAAGAAATAAACAGTGAAACTACATTTTGCTGAAAAGTTAAATAGACAATGAATTAACATCAGTACTAAACAGATAAGCACCAAATTGCATAGAATCTAAATATTTAAAGTTACATGTGTTATAACGAGAAATACACAGTAAGACTTCAATAGTGGGGGAACCTCAATTTGCCCCTTTCAGAATTAGATAAATCTAATAAAAAAAAATAAGAAAGAAGTTAAGGACTTAAACAAAAATAAATACAAAAAATGTAAGATATATGAGAGTCTACCTACCAAGATACACATAAGAACCAAATGAATTCAACTACAAGATATTATTCATAGAATTAAAGATAGACTTGAAAAATTGGGGAGTCAGTTGTTTATTGTCAAGGTAGGCCAATTTAATAAAAGTGACAATACTATCCAAATTAATTTACTTAATCAGTGTCATACCAATAAAACTACCAAAGGATTACTTTATAGAGCTGGAAAAAGTAATAAAGCATTTCATCTGGAACAACAAAATATCAAGAATCTCAAGGGTAACAATGGAAAATAAACACACAAACCAACCAACAAACAAACCATACAATGAAAGGGGACCTAGAAATGCCAGATCTCGAACTATACTGCAAAACAGTAATCATTAAAAAGATCTGGTATTGGTTAAAAAATAGATTAGTTCAATAGAACAGATCAGTTACACAACCTACAAAAGAAAACAAACCTAGTCATCTATTGCTAGGTAAACTCAAAGACTCCATTTACTAGGATAAGAACTCACTATTCAAAAAAACAAAAACAAAAACTGCTAGGAAAACTGGAAAGCAGTGTGGCAGACACTAGGTTTGGGTCAACATGACACATCATATATAAGTTCCAAATGACTTTATATAAAATATCACATTATAAACAAATTAGAGGATCAAGAAAGAAATTTTCTCTTGGATCTATAGCTAGATAAAATGGACAATTTTTATTATATAAAGTTAAAAAGTTCTTGTACAAAAAGCCCCAATATAAGCTAATAAAACAAGAAGGTAAACATTTAAGTAGCAATTTTCTGATAAAACTATTATTTCTAACACAAACACATATGGAATAGATTCAAATTTATAAGAATAAGAGCCATATCCCAACTGATAAATATTATATAAGATAATAAGAAGATATCAACAGAGAGCTTTGTTTATTGCTGTTATTGTTTTTAAATCAATTTTTCTCTATTAATAAAACTCTATTTTCTTCTCTCCCACTTCTCTCCTAAAAAAATAAAGAACAAACCCCTTGTAACAAATAGGCACAACCAAGCAAAACAAATTCCCATACTGGCCAGTCCAAAAAATATATATCTCAATAAGTACCCTAAGTCCACCACCTGTCTAGAGGTAGGTAGCAAATTTCATCATAAGACATCTGGAATCATGTTGACCATTGTATTGATGAGTTCTTTTCAATTATGTTTCTCTTTGTAGTGTTGTTTTTATTATGTAAATTTTTCTATTGGTTTTGCTCACTTCATCTTTCAGCAGTTCATACAAGATTTCCCAGGTTTCTCTGAAATTCTTCCTCTCATCATTTCTTACAGCATACTAGTATTCCATTCCATTTATATACTATAATCTGCTCAGTCATCTCCAACTGACAAAGACCCCCATAGTTTCTAGTTATTTGTCTCTATAAAATTTTTTGTATCTATAGGTAGCCAATTTCTAAGGAAGAAATCCAAGCTATCAACAACCATATGAAAAATTCTTCAAATTACTAATAGTCAGTGAAGAGTAATTAATTCTGAGGTTCTACCTCAGACAGATTAGATTGGTAAAGTTAATTAAAAAGCTGAAAGGCTCCAGCCTCAGACACTTGACACTTACTAGCTGTGTGACCCTGAGCAGGTCACTTGACCCTGATTGCCTCACCAAAAAGCAAAAACAAAACAAAGCAAAAAAAGTTGAAAGGCTACAGGAAAGCAGGCATGTTAATGCAAATGCATTGCTGGTGTTGCCATTTTGGAAAACAATTTGGAATTATAGCCAAAAAATATGCACCAAATTGTGCATATGACCCGGTAAAACTATTACTAGGTCCTATATCCTAAAAAATTAAAGAAGAAAAGGACCTATGAATACAAAAAGATTTATGGAAGCTTTTTGTAGTGGTTAAAGACTGGAAACAACTGGAAAGTACCTATACAAATTATGGTATATGAATATAATGGAATGCTACTATATCATAAATCTGGGAAAGACTTGTATGAATTGATACAGAGTGAAACGAGTAGAACCAGGACAATTTATACAATGGTGTAAAGACAAACAACTCTGAATGACTTAAGAACTCTGATCAATGCAATGCTAAACCATGATTCCAGAGGACTAATGATCATGCTTTCTATTTACCTCTCACCTACTCACCAAGGAGGGCTAAACATGCTGGACCAAAGGCAGGTCTTATATACATAAAAAACCATAAGTGGGCTGGACTATAACATAATCATTTTTAGGCCCTGAGTTACTATTTCCACATTTGGGATTTCTTGGGTCCCATGGGAACAGTTATTGTCTCAAGTCTTGGGGGTCATGATTACTCAGAAGTACAGAACCAGAGTTCTGTGACCAGAATAGGAGTACGGTACAAGGAACAGGGATTATAAACATGGGAAGGATGGCCCTGGGAAACAGGGGGAGCTAAATCTCTCAGTGAACACCTGGTGCTGGTCCAAGCAATACACTTTGCCAGAAGGTGAGGTCATTCCAGAGTGCAAAGGATTATTGTTACGCCAAGCTTAGGGCATAGCCTGCTTTCTGGGCCTTAGCTCTGGAAAACAGGGTGTCTCAAAAATGTTTTGACATGACCAGAGGCTTAATGAATACTTGTTAGAAATATTGTAGAGCTGATTCCTACCTCACACATAGAGGCTAGAAGAGATGACTTCTAAGGTCCCTTCCAACTCTAAGAAAGGAGGCAGTGCAAACTCTAGTGAAAAGAGCACTGGCTTTAAAGTCAGAGGAACAAGGTTCAAATCCCACCTCTGGTACTACCTGTATGAGTCTGGAAAAGTCATTTCACCTTCCCTGGGCCCAAGTTTTCTCATCTGTAAGATTAAGGAGCTGGACTAAATGTCTTCTGAGGTTCCTTCTATCTTGGTTTCTATGATGCCATGATTTTGGGTCCACTATTTCTATTCAATCTTATTTCACACCCAACAAAACCCCTTGCATCAGGAAACTCTAGGTACTGTGTTCCACACAAGCCATGCTAAATTCTATCTCCATGTTTTTATTAAGGTCCTCCTCCCTCAGAGGAAATCAGAGGAAATGTCCTTTGCCTTTTTTCACAACCAAGCTCAAGATCCATCTCCAAAGAGATGGAACAAAGCCAGCCCAGCCAGCTAAGACTTGGGCAGTTTCCAATACACAAAAATGGTTCTGTGATGCCTGGAATGGTGCTCGCCTATTAAAATCTTTTTTGTTGTTGTTTTTCACTAGACAATGGGGTTTAGTGACTTGCCCAAAATCATACAAAGTGTCAAATGTCTGAGGCCAAATTTGAACTTGGGTCCTCCTGACTCCAGGGCCCGTGCTCTATCTACTATGCCACCTAGCTTCCCTCTCCTATTAAAATCTTTAACAAAACTTTTTTTTTTTTTTTGCAGAAACAGCAACTACAACCACCATTCCTCCCCCTCCCCTTCACCTAAGCCTTCCCTGATGCTTTTATAAGTGTTCTTTTCCTCTTTAAGTTGCCTTATCTATGCATGTATGTTGTGACTCCTGACCAGCAGAAGAAAAGCTCACTGGGAGAAGACATTGCATCATTTTTGTTATTTGTATCCTGAGAAAGTAGCACAGTGCCTTTCACACAATAGATACTTAACATTAGTTGAATTTTCATCTATAAAAGCTTTCCTGATTTCTCTGGCCTTGTCTTCATTTTTTTTCTTCCTTTTCCGAATTTCTCCTGCACTATATTCTACACTATACTTTACCTATTAAATTTCACATGTTAGCAGGCTTATCTTCCATAGCTGAAATGTAAACTTCTTGAAGGTAGCAATCATGTTATACTTCTTTCATACTTCTTCACAACTTCTAAGCATGGTGTTAGTAGTAAAGCAAGCATGTAATGAGTGCCTGATTGATGGAAATCTTAAAACTAATAAACCCAAAAAGCTAGTTGAGGCATCCGCAATTGATCTGGCACAGGGAAGTAAAAAGATTGTAAATTAATGATATCCCTGGTCTTTTTTTCTTATGTAGGCTCACCGAAAGTAGAGAGAAAAAAAGTAGCTTCAAGTTTCCCTCTGTTGACTACTCAAGGATGTCTCATTTTTAAGTCAACCCTTGTTTCTTCCCTCTTGAAACTATACCAGTGATCTGAAATAGCACCTTCAGAACTATGGATTTATATAACATACCTTTTGTTCTCACCAGGGACCTCAGATTGGGGTTGCTTCGACCTGGACAACTTAATTATTTCATTACTGGCCTCTTCTGACTTGCTCAGATTTTGAAATTGTGGACTTTCTTCTTCTAAGCTGTCAGGCTCCATTTCCTCAAAAACTTCCTTCATTAAGGATTCATGGTCTTCATTCTGTTTCTGAAGATTAGACTGGAATTTTAGTTCTTGGATGGAGATTTCTGAGTCAGATTCAAGAGAGTCTTGGAAAATCTGATGTAAATCTTTGTTTAAAGGTGGTTCACTGGATCTGACTTTTAAGTCGGCATGATGGACAGGGGGGTGAATGGAGAACATTGGAACTGGTTTAATGTTATTCATGTTGTAAATATGTGAAGAGCTGCCGATCTGGAGTTGGGTGTACACATAAATTTGAAGTTCATAACAGCACTGCCTGAAAAAAAATGCTTATTTTACTTTCTATGTCTACTGAAAATTATTAACAGCTATGCTGAGCAAAAATTAAAATGAATCACTAAAACAACTGTACTAAATTACCTACAGGCTTTCATATTTTTCTTTTTTTCTCAAGGGAGATGGGAAGGTCTATACTTGGACATTTGTGGTTTTTCTCTCTACAGAAACACATCCTTATGTGAAGCTAATAAACAACCTTAGTAATTGAGTGCAGTTTATGGAAGGAACCAAATTGCTGTTTAGAGGCAGATTCCCATTTTCAGCTCCCAAAGGGTTTGTTATAAATAAGCCGGGACAAAGCCAAATGGTTAATTATGGACAGCACTTTAATGAATTCATTTCAAAGAACCTGGACAATTCAAATGAGTCATGTTCATTTATATTCATGTATGGAGTATTAGGTCACCATTTGTTAAAGCAGAACAGGTACAAGGTCAATGCTTCAGGGAGGGAAGGAAAGGTAGTATACTCCCAGAGCTGGAACTCTGAATAGGAAGCCTGTTCTATTCCTGGCCTTACCTTGACTGGCTGAGCAATTTGGAGCAAATTACTTATCCCTTTTATGGTTGTAATATGAGTCTAATATGAGATCCCTTCCTATCCCAGAAGTACGACATAAAGATAAGTTGGAGTCCCTCTAGGGATTAAGAAAAATGCATTTATTCATTCTGACCTAGACTTCCTTTTTCTTTTTCAGAAATCCACTCTTTTGGAGTCTCTTTCCTTTGCCCTCCTGGTATCTTTGCAAATTTTCTACAGATCTGATGACTACAGTCATCTTCACTATTAGCAATTACTGAATGGCTTTTGCTGTCATTCTTTTTAGCTAATCATGACTTCAATCAAATAACTGTAGCTTTACATATCTCACAGGCAGTTGTAAGAGTTAATGTTAATGTTTCCAAGGAACACCATAAATTCCTTAGAGGAAAAGTACTATGACAAACATAAGAGGCCAAAAGCAATACTTAAACTGCTAACAGCGGTTCTTATCAGCATCTATCATTTCCAGAACATAGTTTTAGGGAATCAAAATTTCATGAAAATAGATTATATAGCCGGATTCCATAATAATTTTTATTTCACTACTAATAAACATGTTATTCTAATGCTGTTTTTGAAAAAATAAACGTATCAAATGATAAATGGTTTCACTCGAAAATGGAAAATATACTCTAGCTAATCTTTTGTGGTAAATTTTAATGGTTAAAGTTAGTATATTTGGAGGTCCATATAATGAGTATTTTGTAGCTAAAAAGGTTCATTATGTCCCTTTTCTCAGTGACATAAGAATTTAGTCTTTTTGATTTATCTTATTACTTTAGAGGTCTCAATATATAATCTCTGGAAAGAATAAGCTGATGAGAAAAATAAAACTTCAATACTAGAACAAATTACTTGAATGTTTACAGATGAATATACTTTGGTAGGGCAAAGTCATGAACTACAAAAAGCAGATCTTCAACAGAGGGCTGCTTTTACAAAAGCATAAAGCTACAGAAAGCAAACACAGAAATCTTGAATAAACTGAGAATATTTTAAGGACAGCTCATTGGACACAACTCTGGTTAAATAACCTTAGTCTGTTTTCACAGTATGGTGAATGGTTAGAATACCTTTCTCTTTATGATAAAGGATGAACGACTATTTTTTTAGTGCTATCTGGAAATAAGAACTTATAGATTCACAGATACTCAGAGAAATCCCTTCTACCTTTGGGAGTTCGAACACTACAATTCTTTTCCATTTTTTGGGGGGGAACAAGTATTTAAGTCCCAAGTCCACTTAACCAGTGTCTTCTTGGGCAAGACTCTTCATCCCTTGGGGCCTGTTTCCTCCTCTGTAAATAAAGAAGCCTTACAAAGTCTCTTCCCACTTGGATGTTCTGTGAATGCATCACAGAGTGAATCTGCATGGCAAAATTATTTTCTTCAAGTCCCAGATAAAATCCCACCTTCTATAAGATTTACGCACTAATAGCAGTGCCTTTCCTCCAACATTACCTTCCTGGAGGCCTCAAAACATGAGTTCAAATCCTGCCTCAACTACTAGCTGTGTGACTCCCCCTAAGTTATATATCCTCTTTCTCACTGAGTTTCTCTATCTGTAAAATGATGATAATAAAAGCATTTACTCCAGGGTTGTTGTGAGGATAAAATGGGATATTTGTAAAGTGCTTTCAAAACCGTATAAATGCTGTTATTATTTGTATATAGTCGGTTGCATGTTTTCCTGACTGGTTTCCAGGCTGTACCATAAACAAGGCACTCCATCTCGCCTATATTCTGACTGTCCCTCACGTCTGGAACACTCCCTCCTCCACTCTGTCTACTGACCTCCCTGGTCAGCTGGAATTTTAATCCCAAATAAAATTCAACTTTCTACAGGAAGCCTTCCCCAACTCCTCTTAATTCAAATGCCTCCCCTTTGTTAATTATTTCCTATTTATCCTGCATGTTGCTTGTTTTGAATGTATGTTTGCATACTGTCTCCCCCATTAGATTGTAAGCTTCTTGCAGGCAGTGGATGTCTTTTTGCTTCCTATTGTATCTCTAGCAGGGCCTGACACAGAGCAGGTGCTTATTGACTGCAGGTTTATTGATCATTACACTGTGAACTTCTTTAGGGCAGGGCTTGTCTTCTGCCTTTCCCCGCAACCCCAGAGTTTGGCACAGTGCCCCGCACACAGTCGGTGCTTAATAAATGCTTGTCGACTGATTGGGTAAAATACTTGAAGGACCTCTCAAAGCGGGAGATAAAGAGGCACCTTCCGCCCCGGTGAGGCCCAGTTGCTCCCCCTGAGCCCGGACACTCTCTGGGCTCTCTGCGCCCGCAGGCAGCTGGGGATGGGGGGCTCGTACGACCGGCCGCGGCCCCGCCCCCACAAGTCCCAGGTTTCTTGCTCTAGTTCCACAGGTGCCCCGCTCCGCCCTCCCAGCTGGGATTCGGCCATGTTCCCTCCACGCTTCTGCTTCTGCCCCAGCCCGACTCCCGGCCTTCCCTTCCGCTCCGCCCGCCGCCGACATTTCCCCCAGCTCAGCGGCTGCCCCCGGCCTCAAAATCCACCGCACCGCCAACGGCCGGTCAGTCACCTGCCCGTGCTCCTCCGCGGCTACGGTCGAAGCACCCCCACATCCTGCTCCTCCTCCGCCGCCGCCCCGCCCTGTCGCCGCGGCAGGAGGACCGCTAACACTGCCGGCCTCATTCTCGGAGTGATGCCCCCGTCCCGCAGCCCTACCTCCCTCTCGCTTTGTGGTTGCCCCGGCGCTACCGTGGCGACCGAAGCACAACACAGATTCCATCCACATCCACCCCCACCCCCACCCCAGGTGGGGCGTCTGGACGAGACCATCGACGGCTTCTCTGAAGGGAGTGAGGAATTGAGGCAAAGGCGGCGGGACGGCGCGAAAGGAAGGAGCCGAGACGGAATCGAAAGCGCTCTCAGGGCTTAGCCCGGCGCCTTCCCTGCCCCACGCACCGCCGGTGGGATAGAGGCGAGGGGCCACCCTGAGGCCCACGATGGTAGCTCCCTGTCCCTCGCTCCGCTGGGGGCGGGGAGCCGGGGTTGATGTGACTCTGCCCGACCCCTGTGCCCAGGGATGTGCTTAATGTTTGATAATCGGCCTGGGGCGGGGGAGGAAATGCCTACACAACACACGTTATTAACTGCGTCACTAACATTTTTCTCCATCGTTTGAAGAAAACATATCAAGCCCGGATTTGTAACACTTGCCGGTTTCGTAACACTTACCGGTCACCCCAAAATCGGTTCTTCCAAATAGGTACCAGCTGGCTCCTGCACACCCCAATACTCCTTGGGGTTTGGGAGAGTTGGAGCTGGAGGGAATGGAAAGGTAGGACAGAAAGTAGCCAGTGAGGGGGAGACTGACCTCCTAAAAAGCGGTCCCCTGGATAGAGCACCCTGGACTTGGAGGCAGGAAAGGCTGTCTCAGACATCTCTCCACCTTGATTATCTCATATGTAAAATGGAGATCGTAAAAGCAGCTACTCCTACGGAGTTGTGGTGGGGGTCGAGTTTGGTGATATAAGGGTAGCAACCCCCTCTCCACGTTTTCTCAGTTCTCACTCGCAATGACTAGCTGGATCCCCAGAGAGAAAGCACTACTGCTACCCTCACTGTCTCAAGGGGCAAGTAAACAAGGGTTTACTTAATGTGCCAAGAGCTGGGCAACGGGCAGGAAATCAATCAATCAATATGTACCAGGCACTGTGCTAAGCTTTGGGGATACAAAAAGAGCCAAAACGCATCCTTGCCTTCCAAGAGCTTACAATCTAATGGGAGATATGCAAACATATGTGTGTGTGTGTGTGTGTGTGTGTGTGTATACACACACACATACACACGGGATTAATGGGGGGGGGAATAAAAGGGAAAGCACTGGAATTAAGAGGAAAGGACCTCCCGTGAAGGTGAGGATTTAATTGGGATTTAAATAGAAAGGCAGTCCCTGCCCTCAAGGAGCTCACATCTAGGAATAACCCAGAGGGGCTGGGGTTTTATGAACTATTGAATATAGAAGTCCGCTGGTGTGCTTCTCATTGATTATCAGCCTGATTGAGTTATCTTTTAGAAAGGATATTTCTTAAGCAGGTAGAGCAGAGACAGTGGTTTCAAAAAATGATCCTCTCCCTTACTCAAACCTGGGACCATAGTCTCTCTCTCCCCAGCACACTCATAAGGTCCTTGGGAAGAGTGGGCTCAAACTTGCAGTAAAATGGTAGTGAGGTACGTGTGTAGAGAACATATGTGACAAAGCCTTTGGTTGCTGGCAGTTCTTTTTTTTTCCTGTGTAGAGTCCTCAGGTGTAGCTCTTCGCTAGGTTTCAAGGGTCCGTATCTTTGCAGAGTCCATAGCTTGCATTCCCTTCACCTTGAAGGATCACAATCTTGGGGCTGCCATTCCATGATGTGTCATCATGCTTTCAAAGGAGACAAAACAGATGTTCCTGTTAGCCACAGCTGCCTCAGGGATTCTCAGTCCTCACCATGGCTTCAATTCCCTCTACCCCTCAATTTTTTTTCCCCAACGTCCATATACTGGCCACAGTCTCCTCTCTTCCCTATCTCTACGCCCTTGATGAAACTGCTCAACTCTACGCCATCCTCTAATCTGGAATTGCTCACTCTTTTGTCCTATTGCTTATCACACCTTCCCCAAACCCCATCCTGGCTTACTCTCACCATCTGCCTACTTGGTTCCTGTTGAGGTACTACTGAATGGAACTACTTTCATGAATGGAAATCATGAAAAGAGAGTTGACTGCACCTACTAACAGTTGTCTTATCTAATGTCAACTGGGCCCTCACTGGAGTAAGGCAAACATCCTATTACTCTCTAATTGATTCCATATCCCACTCTCCAACAGTGGCTATTCCAAAGTGCTTACTTCTTTTTAAGCCTCCCATGGCACCTGTCACCCCCTATTCTCTCAGTTTAAGACATTGCCTCTTACCTCACACAAAAAATGAGATCATTATCATTATCTGAGAGCTCTATCTTCTTGCTTCCTCCTCATATCCCATCATCTGGATATTTTTCCCCACTTCCTTCTTCACTCCTGTCTCACATGAAGAGGTAGCCCTTCTCTTTGTCATGACCAAACCTTAATTCCATCTGCTCTTCACTTCTCCTGAAAAAATTGCCTCATTATTTTAAATCTCACTCTTATCTTCAATCTCTTCCTATCTACTAACACCTTCCCTCTACATATATACATACCCATGTCTCTGGAATGCCCTTATTGGTTTCCCTGCCTTCCTTCAGGCTCAGAAGTCATTCATTCACATGCTAAAATGGTCTGATGCTCAAAGATTCTGCATCTTCATATGTCAAGGTCATTTATAGAGCTACTGTTATAGAGGTACTGTTTTCTTTAAGCCATTTCTCTGAGAACAGAACCAGTTAAGATGTTCCCATTTCCTTATATAATAGAACCTCATCATGGCAAGAGAGAGAGCCCCTGGAGTTTCTTGAGCAGGGGAGTGACCTGGTCATACCTCTGCTTTGGGATATAAGAATGGCAGTTTGGTGGAAGATAGATGGGAGCTCTCCCTGGAGAGCTCCTGAAAGGTGGGAAGGGGAGTAATTAGGCATCAAATGCCCTAGTCCAGATGAGAGGTGATGATGTCCTGAAATGGAATGAAGAGGGAGACAAATATGAGAGATGTGGAGGTAAATTGACAAGACTTGGCAACTGATTAGGTGTGGGAATTTGTGTGAGTGCAGAGTTGAGAATGATTCCTAAGTTGTGACTGGAAAAATTATTGTGTTCTCAATATAAATTTGGAAGTGAGGATGAAAGGAAGGCTTAAGAAGAAAAATAAGTAATATTATGGATATGTTAAGTTAATTAAGATTCTTTTGGAAAATCTAATTTGAAATGTTTAATAGGCAGTTGGTGATATGGTGCTAGAGCCCAGGAGAGAGACTAAAGGTAGAAATAAAGATCTGGGAAACATCTGCAAAGAGATTATAATTGAACCCATGGTAGTTCTTGAAATCATTGAGGCAGTGTAAAGACAAAAGAAGGTTAAGACAGAGTCTTGGGGTGCACTCCATAGTTAGAGGGCAATGCGTAGGTAATGATCCACTGAAGGAGACTTCAGAAAAACTGCCGCAAGTTGGAAGAAAACTAGGAGAGAGTACTGTTATGAAAATTGAGAGGGGAGAGAGAGTAGTCAACAGAGTCAAGTGTTTCAGAGAGATAAAAGATGAAGACTGAGAAGAGGTCATTGGATTTGGCAATTAAGAGATCACTGGTGAATTAATGTTGAGGTCGGGGAACCAGATTGTAAAAGATTGAGAAAAGAGAGGAAAGGAGGGGAAGTAGAGAGAATGAGTGGAAGAAGTTTTTTTGTTTTTTTAAAAAATTGTTTGAAATGGAAGAGTTATTATAGGACAATAGCTTGAGGGGATAATAGAGTTCAAATTTTTTTTTAAGGATGGAAAAAGTATTGAGTATGTTTGTAGACAAAAGTAAAAGTGGCCAGTAGAAGGGGAGAGTTTGAAAATTAGAGAGGAGAGAACATTTAATTGCAAGGATATGCTTCCAGAGAAGAAGGAACAGGAAGGGATGAAGGACATAAGTATAAGGATTGGCCTTCTTTTCATCAGAAAGTGGAGCAAAAGTGAAGATTGGAGATGTAGAATAGAGGAAACCAGGGTGCTCAGGACAAATAATCTGTTTTCTCAGTAAAATATGAGCCAAGGCCCTCTAAGGGGAGGGAGGTAGAAGGGAGTGTAGTGGGAAGCTTGAGAAGAGAAGAACAGATTTGGAATACTTGTTGTGGGAAGTTTAATAAAGAGACAATTAGGATTGTCTTGATGTAATGAAGACCCAGCTAATATTACATAACAAATTTGTAGTGGTCCTAGTCATCATGGTGACTTCCTCCAGCTTTGATGTAAGATCAGAGAAAACAGATGGTAGGGATGATACAGAATTGGGGTTAATAAGGCATGGTATCAGTAGGACAAGGGTGAAGGGGATTTGCGTATAGAGCACAGTATATAGCTGAACTAGATAACTATTAAGTCCAAGGTTAGGAAAAGAGGAAAGTAAAGCCAAATCATGGAAGAGCCCTAGGGGATGGAAGACCTGGAGGTCATGGTAGGGGTAGAGAACAGGTTCCAATGAAACAGTTATTTCATCAACCTACTCCATATTATTATCAACTAAAACATAAAATAGGAGAGAAAAGGTCATGAAAGGCGCTTGCCACTCTTATGACAAAAATAATGTCCAGAATTCAAATGGAAGAGGGATTATCTATAGATATTGAAGTCCTCCAGTCCTCTTGCTTATGGATGAAATTCTATTGATTGCCCCAGGGCCCCAGAATATTATAGAGCCTTCTTAATGAATAAAAGCAGACTGGAAGAATTGGACAAGGAAGCCAGGAATACCTGGGTTTAAATCCTATCTTTGTACGTGACCGTAAGCACTCACTCACCTCTCAGTGCTTCAGGCAACTATTATAATTTGCAAAGAAGGTGCTGACCTACATTCGGAGAGAGGGTTTCCTTCTCTGAGAGTCCCCTATACCAGAGGTGTCAAATGTGGTCTATGAGTGGCACCTGTAACACTTTAGGGTGCAGCCTGAACTAGATCAAAAATGTATTTGGGAGATATTTAATAAAGTAAAATTAAAAAACCCAACAAACATAGATAATACTACTTTTTAAAACCAAGCCAATATATACTCAGCAGGGATTCTTATGTGGATTAGTAGCCTCCATTTCTATTTGAGTTTGACACCATTTCCCATCACAGGTCCAGATCCTATCCCAATACTCTTCTCAGTGAGATTCATGACTGCTCAATAGAGATCAGCTGAATAATCCATACAGAAAAAGCTAAAAGGCTGAAAATTTGTTATTGGCATAACTGTGATATGTTGTTGGTCAGACATCACATTGAATTAGTGTTAGTGTATCAATATATAGCTATAGCCTGCACAGGTACAATAAATGGAGGGAGAAGTGAAGAGAAAGAGAATGGGCCAAATTGCAGTTAGGAAATTGTGCAATGCATTCAATAGTTCCAAGCTGCACCATGATGCAAAGCATTATGTTTTTAATATTAGTATTCCCTCAGTTATACTGTATTGTTGCAAGTCCTTGAACACTACAGTCTTCAAAGAATCAAAATGATGGGTGACCCAAAGGCAGTGGACAGATACGTGATACCGTGTATTTCTAGTGATGACCTATCTGCAAGAAATGGAGTAAAGGCTGTCGTCCAGGAAATGTATGATTGAAAAAGAAATAGGCTCAGCATGTAGCTAACATTCAGATGAGCCCAAGAAACACAAAAAGACCTAGAGAAAGTCTTCTAGTGCATTAAATAGAACCTCTGAAAAGGAATTTTAGCAGAATACGGACAAGAATTACACAGGCTACTGGTGCCTTCACTTCTGTCTACATGAGAAAGCATGTATGTATAGCAATATTCATTGAGAGATTAATGAGATCACTGATCCATTGAAATACACAAGGGACAAAAATCAACCAACTACATTATATGTGGAGATGAGGGGAGGGAGGCCTATATTTGAAGTAGCAACAAACTAGATAATTATATTAATAGCTAATATAGCACTTACTATGTGCCAGGCACTATGCTAAGATCTTTATAATTATTATCTAGTTTGATCCTCACAACAACCTGAGAGGTAGATGCTATTATTATTCCTATCTTACAGATGAAGAAACTGAGGCAGAGATTAAGTGACTTCCCCAGGGTCACATAGCTAGTAAGTATCTGAGGCCTGATCTGAACTCATATCTTCCTGACTCCAGACCCAGCTTTCTGTCCGCTGGACCACTTAGCTGCCTTTGGCTCGTATTTGGGATTTTTAAGCACTGTATATAATACATCATGAGGCTTTTTTTTGTTTGTGAATCTCTTGTAAAGGAAGATCTATAGTTTTGGACACAGTTATTAGGCTGGTAGACCAGTGGAATATTAAAGATAGAGTATAGTACTGTCTAAATTTCAGCAAAGTACTTGACAGATGTCTCTCTTGTGGAGAAATTGTTGTTGTTTGTCCTTTTTTTTGAAGAGGACCGATGACATTATGGCATGATGTCTTAACTTGCGCATGAATTGGATTTAAGTGAGGCAGAGTTGCACAAAGTCATCAGCCTCACTCTCTCTTCCAGAGTCATAAAGTCCAGTGGCAAGACAAAAGTCAAGATGACTGGCAATGGCCTGGGATGCAGTGGATGACTTGGTATCTTTGATATCTGACCAAGCTCTCAGCTCTCAATAGCACCTGCTTCAGCCACCTTCATGGCCTTTGTAACAAATTGTTCTCATCTGCTGGGGGAAATCTTCACATGCTTGGGGTAGACATTCCTCTAACTCACCAAGAGGTTTGAGGCCTGTTGGTTACAGCCCTCAGCCTGGTTTAGGCCATCTGCCCAAATAGTTTTGTCAGGGTGGCCACTTCAAATACTACAGCTTCTTGGAGCTACAGGTAAGAGTTGAGTGCCAGGTGGACACCAAAGGTGGATGAGCAACCCTGAAAAGGGGTTGGGAGCCCTCATCTCAGAGGTGCTCGTCTTCCCTGAACATCCTGTACACCCCTGTGGACAGATATGGGCTAGATGATAATATAGTTAGGTATATTTAGAACTGATTGGGTGACTGTGTCTGAAACTTTTAAATTGATCATTTGATGCCAACCTGGAGTATTTCTTTAAGAACATGTATGTATTTGGATTGAATAAATGAAGCCAATTAGCTTTCTTCAAACTAGGTTGGCAGAATTAGAATACAGTATTTTTTTCTAAAGGGACCAACTTTGGGAGGGGGTGTGTATATTTTAATAGTTAATCTAGAATAAAACTCTATGTCTTATGTTCAGCTCTTAATAAACTACTACCCATAGGTCTAGAGAACATCTGATAGGTAGCATTTTCTCCACAAATGCCCATATGTCACCCTCCCCCATAGACCACTCCTAGAATTAGACTTTCACATTCATTTGGATAGATTTTAAGATATTTGGGCATTTGGGGATATGTGATGTTTTTACTGTTTTATTTTTTTCCTGTTCCCTCAAGTTTGCAAAAGAGCAAAGACAGGGAGGAAAAACCAACACACATCAACAGGTCTACCACAATAATGACCACAGATGACAAATTTGCACATGAATGCATTTCAGGAAGGGAGAGGGCTCCTTCCCTTAGAAGGTGCAGCATTGTAAAAATAGAATTACATTTCATCTAGATCAAAACGCCATTATAAATATAGTAAATTACTATGACTTCAACCAGGAGATGTAATAGGAGATTATGTTGTTGGCTTAAATTAGTGGACCCATTAGTGAACAGCAGTTCAAGCCATCTTCTTCATCTGTTACTTAGTTGTATGTAGACTAAACATGATGTGTGCTCTCAGTATGTTGGGTAGCATAATTTTCTTTCTTGATACTCTAGTGTAATCATGGACTGTATAGTTAATGCTTAGAGCTTCATGACTTTAGCATATATTACCTTAGATAATTTGGAGGAAAATAAGAATTAAGTAAAAAATAAACATGGCTTTGATTTGTTGTAAAGTTGAGGCATCATTTGTTTTTCATATTTACATCTATGAAGAACTATTAGTTGAAGATTGCTAATTAGTTGTTCACAAGTTCCATATTCTCTGAGCAAGATAGAGTTTTAATTCATTGTCAGGGATTTTAGCTAAGTATAAGGGAGAACTTTATGACTGAAGGTTGGGGAGTAATAGAATAGGTTATTGAGAAAGGATATGAAATCTTCCCTAGAAAACTAAGAATAGAACAGATATTTATGTGAAATGATTTAGATACTGATTCAGGGCAATAGATGAAAAGGCTCCTCAAACTTTCTTTTTGCAGTATTAGCCTGTGGTCCGCTATTAAAGTGAAGCTGGCTGCCTAATTTTCTATGGGAGGTTTTGGTTTGCCTTACAGAAAAATCATGTCTAAGCATACTGTCCATGGTACTGTAAAATGTACTATGCAGGAAAAAAAAAAGATCATGATACTTTCTACAATAGATAGGTGGTCAGTGCACATGAATAAGCAGTTCTGTAAAGAAGAAATGCAATTGAGGGGCAACGATATGAAAGATTGTTCCAAATCACAAATAATACAAATCACCAGCATCTCAGAGTTTTCACCTCACAACTAACAAGTTGGCAAAGAAAACAAAAGATGAGAATAGTCAATATGGAGGGGTTGAGTGAAGACAGTCATGTTAACACCATTCCTGAGGCTATAAATTGGTCCAACCATTCTGGAATTAGTTTAATAGATTTAGAATTATGTTTCTTAAGTGACTAAAATGTCTCTTTGTCTCAGAGATCCTACTTCCATACATATACCTCAAAAAGGTTCAAAAAAGACAGGAAGTTCTCAAATATACCAATCATTTATGGCAATGCTTTTTGTGTTAGGGAAGAACTGGAAATAAAGTGTCTGCTCACCCATTGGGGAATGGCTAAACAAATTATGGTATATGAGTGAAATGAAACATTTTTGTGTTTTAGAAACAATAAATATCAAGGACTCAGAAAAGATGCGAAGACTTGTATGAAGTGATGCAGAATAAATTAATCAAAACTGGGGGGAAACATGAATCCTATAGTAAAATATATGAAAAGAGTAAAATATGACGCTGACCTTTGTATTGTTTTAATGATCAACTTGGCCTAGGAGAAGAAAATGCAACTCCATCCTTTGTTGAGGGGCAGTACTGTGAGTGTAGTTACTGCATATTCTATCGGATACAGTTGGTATGTTGATTGGTTTTGCTATTTGTTTTGCCCCTTCTTAAAAAAATCACTGTCACAAAGGATGTCTCCCTGGATAGAGGAGAGTAGAAAAATATATTGGGAAATGTACGAAAAGATATAAGATTTTTAAAATACCATGAGATTAATGTTGCTAGATTGTTTTGAGTCCCTGAAATGGGAGGATTCAGAGCAATGTAACATTGCTCTGAGGGGCAGCTAGGTGGTGCAGTGGATAGAGTACTGGCCCTGGAGTCAGGAGGACCCAAGTTCAAACCTGGCCTCAGACACTTGACACTTACTATCTGTGTGATCCTGGGCAAGTCACTTAACCCCATTTCCTAGCCAAAAAAAAAAAAAAAGAGAGAAAGAGAGAAACATTGCTGTGGGTTTTTCAACTTGGTGAAAGAGAGCTCACTACTATACAGGCAGAATGTTCATTGGACATTAAGAGGCAGCCACCTCTGAGGGGAAAATGGTTCTCCACTATGTACTGCCTTTGGAATACCAGATGGTTAGAGAGATCTATCTCATATAAACTGTAAGCTACAACAAAAAGCAAGCTTGATCTTGCTGTTCTTATACTTTAAAACTCTCATGGAAATCCAGCCAGTAGCCAAAGTTAATCCCTTAAAAGTATCAGATCACCAGGTTCCTCAAATGAAAAAAGGTTTTATTTTGGATTCAGTTTATTCAGTTCTCTACAATCAGAAAGTTGTCACATTGGAAATATGGCATCATAAAAATGGCAGAATTTTATTGATCTTAAATAAACCCTGATAAAAAGGGAGAGAGTAAAGTACAAAGTAGTCAGCACAATTTGAAGCAAAATAATTTTTAAAATCTCATATTCTCTTTATTAAACATGAAATGATAAGTTATAAGTGTAAGGGTGGGATCAAAATCACCTCATTTTGTTTAGTTGACACATTTATTAAGTGAGAACACATCTTGATGATTTCTTGGTCATGAACAAGGCAGGGTCTCTCCCTAGGAAACCTGGTTGGGTTGTCTGAGTGGCTTGATTTCATCCTCTAGGGCCTCTATCAAGTTTGTTGGAAATGTGTATTAGAATGAGTGAAGAGATTGGAGAGAGTAGTTCCAGCCAATCCTCTGAGAAGTCATAGGTGGGGGTAGGGGAGTGGGGAGAGAACACCTCAGCCCTAGCCTCAATTTCCTTTCTCCCTACTAGGCTTTATAAGGGCCTCATTAACCCTGAAGGACCAGAGGACTGATACATTCCCATCAGCATCCTAGTCCATGCAGTGGCCTGGAAAAAGTTGATGCAGTATCTTCATCGGGAACTGAGGGCAAACTGGAAATCCTGAAAAAGTGCAAGCTCAGGATTCTACAGAGACCCCAGAAGGAAAGCAGTACCATATGTAAGGTGAATGTCTTGAGGACTCCAGCAAAAGCACTTCCAAGAGCTGTGAGTTACCTTTTTTTACCACATTTCCTTTCTAACTTTGAACCCACTTTACTTTACTCTGGACTTTGTGTTTACTTATTACAGAGTATGTAACAGACTTTTAGAGGTATGCTTTGTACCACTTGTTCCTAAGCCCCTTTCTAAAAGCCAATTAAGATTGGCTAATTAATATCAACTCATAATCATGGGGAAGAGCACAATGGCGGGGGACTCATAATCTATAGCATTAGAAAAATAACCTCCCAACCCTTCAGGGCTTCCTATAGACTCGAAGGGGAATAGGAATAGCCTTGCTTTGAGGACCCAGCCTGGCAATACAAATAGGGGTAGGGAGAATAACTCCAGAGCATGTATTACATGCACACAACAATGCATAAAGTGAACACACTTTTATTTTCGTAAATTTGTTCAAGGCATCTATGATTTAAAATTGTGCACTCCAGAGCAGCATGTTATTTATCAAAGGTCCACCTTCACCTTCTCATATCCAGGGCAGAAGAGGGTGGTATCAAGTAAATGTTGTCCAGGAGTCCCAGGTATTAATATGCACACCTTTCACATGAAATTTTATCACTTTTCAGAGTCTCTCTTTAAGTATGACCTGTTTGGTGACTGGAGATCTTACAATCTGTTTTCACCCTATGTTTCTTTTATCCTGATACCATTTTGGAATTTCCCATTTTTACTTTTCCATCCAGCCCAGATCAGAGAGTTTATAATTCCACTCTCCATATGGGAAGATGTGTACTTTTAAAGTTGTCCAAACCCAAGCAGGGTGATTTCAGAAAAACCTGGGAAGACTCATATGAACTGATGTATAATGAAATGAACAGAACCAGGAGGACATTGTACACAGTAACAGCAACGTTGTGCAATGAAGAATTATGAATAACTTAGCTATTCTCAGCAATACAATGATCCAAGACAATCCTTAAAGGATTAATGATGAAGCATACTATCCACCTCTAGAGAAAGAACCAATATTGTTTGAATACAGACTGAAGCATGCTATTTTTCATTTTTTTTCACTTTTCTTTTATTTGACTCTTCTTGTACAAAATGACTAATATGGAAATGTTTTACATAATTGCACATGCATAGCCTATATCTGGTTGTTTACTGTTTCAGGGAGGGGAGAGGGAAAGGAGGGAGGGATAGAATTTGGAACTCAATGCTTTAAATAAAAATGTTAAAGAATTGAAAAAAAAATAAAGAATTCCCCAACAACAAAAAAGTTGTCCAAACCTGTAATCCAAAAAATTTTGCTATTCACCATAAGTCGGCTGGTCATGTTGACCTTGATCCACAAGCCTCAGTAGAATCCTCTTGCTCTGAAGTAGTGTTTGGCATAGAACTAGGTAAACAAAAACCCCATTTATATCCACAGTTTGCTACTCTGACTTGGGTCAGATTGTCTTAATGGGGTACTGCTTACACTGTACTGTTTGAGGACAACAGTATTAATGTCCTGTACAGTCTGTTCCACTGAGGTCAAAATGAGCTCTTAGGTTCTTTGGATAAGCTATTGCTTATTTTCTTTTTAAAGTCAGTTATGATACCCTGGGTCACCCTGTTGTGCTATTTTTAACATGGTTTCAAGAATTATACATTAGTTTCTGGTAGATGATTCTGTTCTTGCTTCGATGTAGCATCCTGTATGTTTTCTTTTGGGTTCTTGGATTTTCTTTCCATATATGATGTTATAATATATTTCATACCACACTTGTGACTGAAACCTGGAAGAAACACAATACCCAGTGAAAATTTGTTTTAGTTTTTAAAAAAATCCTCCCTCCAAGTCCACATCCCCTAAATGACAATAACATATCAGTGAAAATTCATTTTAATTTTTAAAAAATCCTCCCTCTAAGTCCACATTCCCCAAATGACTATAAGATACAAAGACAATAAAAGTTTCCATTATCTGTAGTTCAATTGATATTTGAGGGCAACAAATACCTCCTTGTTCATTTATATAGGTGCAAGAAGACCCATTGTAAATGATTGATATTTGCAGGTTAATGTGTTAAGGGATTTAAAAGTTAAAACTAAAATTTACCAGCATAAATTAGTCATCTGAGTATACCATGATTCACCTGATTATTTTAATTCAGAGGTTTTTAACCTTTTTTGTGTCATAAACCCCTTTGGCAGTCTGATGAAGCCAATGGATCTCTTCTCAGAATAATGTTTTAAAATACATAAAATAAAAGGCATATGATTATAAAGGAAACTAATTATATTGAGATACAATTGTCACAATATTAAAAATAAACAAGTTCAGAGACCCTAGGTTGAGAACTCCAGTTTTGTTGTTTTGTATGCATAATATATAATATTAATAAGCATGGCACAAAACACTAAAATAGGCTGTGGGCATTTTCTCCTTTCTCTCAGGTTTTCATCCATTCAACTCATTCATATGCCTTCAAGTACACTCATTCTTTGATATTGTTTCTCACTGCATTAGGCCAGACAAAAATAAGCATCTATCACCTACAAGCCAAAATTCCCAGGAGAATTCAAATGCAATAGAAAAGACAGCCAGACTTTATTGCATTTCTTTTAGGAATTGATAGGTACAAACTAATTTATAATCATTGAAATAAAGTGGGTTTTAGTTAGGGAGATCAGAGAATCATAGAATATCAGGGTAGCAAAGGACCTATGAGATCACCTACAGATGAGGCCCAGGTAAGTGAGCTAATGACAGAGTCAGAAGGTGAAGCCAGGTGTTCTAAATTTCATCATCAGCATTCTTTCACCTATATCATGCTTCCTGTCTTTACACCAAAGATTTTGTGTTTTTGGGTACCAAATTTTTTTACCAGAAAGTTAAAGGGAATAAGTAATAACAGGATTATTTGCATAATTCACTTCTAGGAAAGAGGTGTTCAAGTAATTTTCTATGTAATTATTTATTATTTGTATATTATATATAATATATAACATATATATTTCTATGTAATTATTTATTAGAATCTTTAATTAAGGAATCTTAAGATCATAGGATCATCTGAAGAACTGCATTTTCCATCATGCATTTATTTCTCTACATCTAGGAGATACCTGGGTTGCAATATGATCAATGGGATAGGTTATAATAGCTTACAATAGGGTAAGTTACAATAAGATTTAGAGCTAGAAGGTGCCTTAGAGGCCATCTGGTCCACAGTCCTCATTTTGCAAGTGAGGAAACAGACCCAGCAAGTAAGTGAGAGGTGGGATTTGAAACCAGATCAGTCAATCAGCTCGCATTTATTAAGCACTTACTATGTGCTTCCTGTGCTACAAAGAAAGGCAAGAACAATTCCTGCCTTCACAAATGCTAATAGTATGATGGGATAGACAACATGCAAACAACTGCGTACATACAAGATAGGTACCAGATAAATTGGAGATAATCTTAAAAGGAAAGAAGTAGCATTAAAGGAAATCTGGAAAGGCTTTTTCTCAGAAAACAGGATTTTAGCTGAGACTTGAAGGAAGCCAGGAATGCCAAGAGACTGAGATAAGGAGGGAGAGAATTCCAGGTGTGGGAGGCAGCCTTTGAAAATCCACAGAGTGGGCAGATGGAGTGTCTTGTTTGAGAAACAGCAAGGAGAGAGAGTATGTGGAGGAGAAATAAGGTATAAGGGGACCAGAAAGGAAGGAAGGAATTGGATTATGGAGAGATTTAAAGGCCAAAGTCAAGGCCTTCTGACTCCAGATCCAGAACTGTTTATACTTTATGTACCATTAGAGAATCTCCCCTTTTAGATGCTTCATCCTAAATTCTTTGACACGTATTACACAAGTTCAATGAATTCAAAGAGGACAAAGAGATTTCCATATAAATTCACAGTCTTGTGTGAAAAGCTCTTCCTCAGAACCTCATTTTTGTGAATTTTCCCACTATGTATGTAAACTGGGCCTCCTACAATGAATATCACCAAGACTTGTTAGTATGGGGCTTATGACTAGAATATGGCTCTGTAAGGGCATATTTTCTTCAAAAGGAACAAAATATAGAGTAGCCCTAACTTGTAATAGAAAAGGGCAGTGAGATAGCAATAAGTATTAAGGAGATATTGAAAATCAAAAAACCTCATTCTTCAACTCTTTTATGGTCCCTTAGAATTAACTTACTGCGACCATTCTTCTCTTGGGATGATGTGTCATCATTATTTGACCTAGATCTATAACTTTCCAGTGTCAATTCTGAAAGGTTGTTTTCTGTGTATATAAAAAAAGAATAAATTAGTACTTCCTAGGGGTTATATAGATTATATAGATATAGAATTTCCCACTAGTGTATATAGTCGTATAAAATACATATTACTTCCCTTATTTCATCACATAACTACATGGAATAAGTACATTCAACCAAAGTGTTGGTATGAATAATATGCCACATTTACATACTGTTTTTAGGTTCACCAAATGCTGTCTTCAACAATGCTATGTGATAGTGAGAGATTTTTCCTATTTTACTGAGGAGGAAATTAAGGTCCAGAGAGGGTCATGGGATCAGAGATGTAGAGTTGGAAGGGTTCATTTAGTCCAGAGACCATTTAGTTGAACATGCTTATTTTAGGGATGAAAGGGAGGCCGAGGGCACTTAAATGATTTATTCAAGGTCACACAGATAGTAAGAGGCAGAGGTGGGATTTGAACCCAGATCCTTGAATTGTAGAGGGTCTTTTCTACAGTCACACAGCTAAACTGTAGGAGAGTTCCAAGTTCAATAATTTTTCTATTCACACCATCCTGCCTTTCTGATCTTTGTTTCTTTGTCTGTAACATGGGGGAACACAATATTCGCAATGCCTACTACCCAGGTTTTTGAGAAAAATCACACTGTAAATGTAACTCTCAGCTCAAAACCTATTTGCATATGACTCTTCTCATTGGTGGAGATTGCTCAATGCTCCATACCAGTATGAGGGAAGGAGTTGGTGAGCATTTCACACAAATATAAGCTATTTTTTGAGTGTCTATGTGTCCAGCACTGTGGTTAA